TTTTTTGTTTTGTCTTGTTTGCCTATTTGTTTTGCTGTTTTTTTTATTTTTTTGTTTTTAAATATATACTTAAATAACTGTTACTAAAGTGCAATAAACAGCAAGAAAAGTATTGTGTTTCCAGAACAAGGATAGTATATTTATAATCTGAATTTCTATCATTTCCTAAAATTCACTGTGGGAAAACCAGAGGTGATAACTACTTGATTATTTTCTAAACAACGTACCCACGAGTTGACGATAGTCTTTCTTTGATTTGTTTGTTTCTTCCACTTTCTAGCTACTTTCTTGGCGACATTATCTGTCGCGTGTGTAAGCTATACCCAACGACTGTAGTGTTTTCTAAACTGTTCGGAGAAGCCAATAGTTTCTAATAATTTCTAGGTGACCATTCCATTCATGCACAATTTTCGAAGTTTATCTAATAAATTCCCTACGATTTTTGAAGTTTGATTTTTTACATTTCATTGCCCAGGTTAGGATATTTTTCGTACAAAAGAAACCTAAAATTTTCGGATTCAAAAATGTGATGGAGAGAGGAATCAAAAAATTTTTCACTTTCGCAATGCGCTAAATTGCATCTAAAATTTTCGGGGAAATAATACCGAAGCCCTTGCAATTTCGAAAAGACTTAAATTCCCCTAGAATGTCCAAACAGTTACAAATTTTATAGCGCCACTTAGAATGCATTTGTAAAGTCTTAAGAAGTTAGCCTGCGTAGCAGGCGCTTGGAAGTAGTGGGCGAAAAAGAGAACGGGCGCGCGCGAGGGAGACACGCGCCCGTTTTAAACATTTTACACGGTTTCTTCAAAACTACCTCAATCTCAGTTTTTTTGGCGGCAGTGTCTCAAGTGAATCCTTGATCTTAAAATAAAAACGCAAATGAACCACCAACTTCATTGATCGCCGTTATTTAAGTCTTCCTCATCTGTTCTGGATAATATTTTTCGAAGTATCTTCAAGACTGCTCTCCGGATTTCCCGATTACGCCAAATATACAAGAATGGATTTATAGCGGAGTTCATGAACATAATAGTGTAGAAATACAGACCGATGTTCCAGTGTTTTTTATAAGTCACCGTAATTAGGGTGGATACAGTCGATGGAAAATAACAAAGAAGCATACAAATGTAATATATAAATGTGTTTGCAGCGCGTTTCTTCGCTTTTATCTTGAGATTTTGTTCCAAGTTCATACTTTGTACGGCTTGCTGTTGGGCGTGAATCTGATGTTGATGGTGTCGAACGATTCGATAAATTGCATTGTAAGTAATTGAAGAAATGAAAAAACATAAGGCAGCAAAGACAACTGCAGCAAGAAGAATAGCATTTGTCTTCCAAATGATAAGCAGTGATAAAATGAAGTTTTTACACCAAAATGTTGCTGCTACACAGGTTGCACGTCTAGAGGTCATCATGTTCGGATATCGCATGTGATATCGTAGGACCAAATATCGATCCACGCTGATGGCTGTCATTGTTTCAAGGGAAACACAGCAGAGTTGAATAATGAGGACGTGGCTTGCTTGAGACAGACTTGAGTAAGAACTGCTTCCAGAAAGGATAAGGCGGGCGATGGCAATTCTAACTGGAAGAACGAGAAACCCAACAAAAAGATCAGAAACAGCAAGACTGCACAGCAAAATGATAGACGGAGTGTGTAGGGAAGGATTTCTCCATACGACGGCTAGTACTAAAACATTGCCAGCGATGCATATTGGTATCAGTAGAGCATTGAGGACACTATGCGTTATGATTACAGAGGTCTCGAAAGGTGAGGATTCTTCGTCACTCTCCAACCCGTCAAGCATCATATCGACAGTAGAGTTTGCCATCTTAAAATTTTCAATAATGTCCCCTGTTTCTCTTCAAAGAGAAAGTGCATATTATTTTTTATACTCTTTCACCTGGCATCTTATTAAAGTGATAACCACCTTGCCAGCATTTAATTCTTTAACTTATTTCTAATAGGGCTTTTCATTTAGTAGAAGTTATACTTGTCCATCTTTTAAAATAGAATTGGTGATGAACGGTACCAATTAAGTCAGCGTCCTTTTTCTATTTCACCAATAGGTGTGCACCCCACTTTGTCAAACTTGCAAATATATTACGCTTATCAAGGAATTAATTGCTTTAACCCCGTCACTTCGATTCCGTAAACAGAAAGGACATAAAATTAAAAGAAAAGCTTCTTCTTTTCCCACTCCTATAATTTTCCCTTGCATTTCGACCACACTAGTGACAAAGAAGACCAGAGCGACCAACAAGGAAGCAAACCTGATACAACGTAGAATAAATTAGTTATTCAACATAACACAAATAACCCCACACAGCAGGGAAACATTGGAAGACAGCTGCTTCAATCATGCATCCTTGTTTATTTTGCCTTTTCTTTTCGTATTTTTTGGCTGGCAAGATAAAATTGTAAATCCTACCTTTGCAAAAAGCAAGTCCGGCCGTTCTTGACGTCGTTCTTATAGCGATCTTGGAAAGTTTCTTCGCCGTTAGGTTTTAGTCTTAACCGTCAACCCAATTCGCAGAAAAAAAAATGGTGGAGGAAAATTTAGGAAGGGTCCCACTTGATTTGAGACACCCTTGCTTGTAAGCCACCCCCCGGCCCCTCTCCCCAGCCGCATTAGTTTAAATAAGCGCCCAACTTCGTTCTCAAGAGAAAGGAAAAGAGCAATAGAGTGGGAGAACCTGGGAACTTGGATGAAATGCTACATCTTTATCTCTCATATCATAGAGCTACTTGGCGGAAAAGCAAAAACAAAAACTTCAATTAATTAGTAAAAAGCTACCGAATATAACCTTTCAGAGGTTGATTTGTCTGTAAAAATTTCTTCTTCCTGCCGACAAAAATTTCCCCGGAAAAATTGGACACAAATATATGGAAAATCTAAAGCAAGCGCCTGGAGAAATTTAAGCACAGTGAAGTTCCGCGAAATTTGTTAGTAAAATCCTTTGCTGTGTAGCTTTAGTTTACAATTCATATTTTTTTCAGAACAGCGGTTTTACGGAAATTATCCTTCATTAGATTCTCATACAAACACTGCAATTTCTCACGCGGTTACCTAACTCGTCAAGATGGCTTCCAAAACCATGACAAGGTCTATTTTACAACTAATTGCTTGTGTTTACTGTTACGTTGTTTTCTCTTTATGGATTCTTTTATTATGCACGGTCTAATTGTTCGTGACAGAGATAAAATGTCAAAAAAACTATTACCGAGTGCAGGCAAATTTTTTTCTTCAACCCTCATCACAGGTAGCCCAAGCGCGAAATGTGAGCATCGGCGAGCATCGGCATTGTTGCGCAACATTCAAAATATAAGGATTTGTAAGGGAAAGAAACCTATCGTTTCTGTAACCTACGAAAATTAAAGGATTTCAATAAAAGACAGCTTACCTTGCTTAAAATGTGTGTTACGTCTCTCCTGTGTGGTCCACGGGCCGATTTATGGCCGTTTTATGGGTTTTTATGTAAACAGTTTTCTCTTTATATAAAGGTTTACCTTTGTAGGTTACAGAAAAGATAGATTTTTTTTCCTTAGAAATCCTTATATTTTGAATGTTACGCAACAATGCTGATGCTCGCCGATTTACTCGCCGATGCTCATATTTCGAGCTTGGGCTACTTGTGCCCCCATTCGCCGAGAAGCCCTGGTGACGAGCTCAGCCCCAGGTAGTAAAAAAATGGCGGAAAATTTCACACTATTTGCCATTGAAGAAGAAATTACCGTACAAATGCCTAAAAACATAGCTAGAAGAGCAAAAATACAACTCGACGAATGACAACTGCTATTTAAAGAATATCTGGTAGACTAATCATCCCTTAAATACAAGGTAAATCGACGTCTTAATAATTTTCATACAGGCACATATAATTCAGATAGGTCATTTGAGAATTTATTTAGTTAATCGCCACGTTTTACCTAACTTAACTCACAGCTGTAGTCATTATTAGAAGCTGTTATATACATAATTATTATTTTTTTTATTTATTTTGCCAAACCATAGCAGTTCGTGATAATACAGAATTTCAATTAGATATAGGGTTAAAAGTATGTAAGAAATAATTTAACAAAGGAAAGAAAACGTGCAATACAAAATTAAAGCACTTACATGTAAGTTAAATCACATTGTATATACTAAGAAGGAGAGGAGAAACGCACGTCCCCTTAAAGTTACGTATGACAAAAAACTTGTAATTTTTAAGCAAAAAGATAATTTTTCCTGGGTCAAATAACGTTTAATTTAAGTTTTACTGTTTGACTATTTAGGAGTTTTATTTGTTTAAGTCCTGCCTGTTGTTCTAATATTCCGATACTGGGTTCGATGGAACATCAACGTAGCGGTCGGGAAAAAAGCAGGGACCGAAAACTGCATTTCTTGCAAATTTTCCTTGGCCACTAGTTTTTTGTTTGTTTCTTCCACTTTCTAGCTACTTTTTTGGCAGCATTATCTGCCCCTGAGTAAACTATTGAGGAGCAATCCAATGGAAGTAGCAGAGCAGATTACACCGCGAAAATTTAGCCTCTGCTTGTATGATCTGTAGCTATCCTTGGTCTTTCCTGTAGGCAAAAACGCAAATGAACTTCGCGGAAATCGATATATCAACCAAACCGAAACTTAAGTTTTCTCCATCTGTTTTACATAACATGTTACGTAGTTTCTTCACCTGCCTGGATCTCGGATGTTTTAGCGGCAGTATCTGCTCCTGAGTGTCTCAAGTGAATCCTTGATCTTAAAATAAAATCACATATGAACCACCTCATCTGTTTTACATAACCTTTTTCGTACTAACTTCAAAACTGCTTCCCGGACTTCCCGATTACGCCAAAAATACAAGAATGGATTTATAGCGGAGTTCATGCACGTAATAGTGTCGGTAAAATACCATCTGATGTTCCAATGTTCTTTATAATTCACCCAAATTATGGCGGAGACAGCCGCTGGAAAATAACAAAGAAGCATACAAATGTAATATATAAATGTGTTTAGAGCGCGTTTCTTCCCTTGTATCTTGAGATTTTGTTCCGCGTTCATACTTTGTACGGCTTGCTGTTGGGTGTGAATCTGATGTTGATGGTGTCGAACGATTCGATAAATTGCATTGTAAGTAATTGAAGAAATGAAAAGACATAAGGCAACAAAGACAACTGCAACAAGAAGAATAGTATTTTTCTTCCAAATGCTAAGCAGTGATAAAATGACGTTTTTACACCAAAATGTTGCTGCTACGTACATTGCACGTTTAGAGGTCATCGAATTCGGATATCGCATGTGATATCGTAGGGCCAAATATCGATCCATGCTGATGGCTGTCATTGTTTCAAGGGAAACACAGCAGAGTTGAATATTGAGGAAGATCCTTGCTTGTGACAGACGTGAGTAAGAACTGTTCCGAGAAAGCGTTATAAGGGCGATGGCAATGTTAACTGGAAGAACAGGAAACCCAACGAAAAGATCAGAAACAGCAAGACTGGACAGCAAAATGGTAGACGGAGTGTGTAGGGATGGATTTTTCGGTACGGCGGCTAGTACCAAAACATTGCCAGCGATGCATATTGGTATCAGTAGAGCATTGAGGACACTATTCGGTATGATTACTGAGGTTTCGAAAGGTGAGGATTCTTCGTCACTCTCCAACCCACCAGGCATCATATCGACGGTAGAGTTTGCCATCTCAAATTTTTCAATTTTGTCTCCTATTTCTCTTCAAAAAGAAACTGCATATTATTTTTTATACTCTTTCACCTGGCATCTTATTAAAATTACAACCGTCTTGCCAGCATTTAATTCTTTAACTTATGTCTAATAGGGCTTTTCATTTAGGAGACGTTATACTTGATCATCTTTTAAAATGGAATTGGTGATGAACGGTACCAATTAAGTCAGCGCCCATTTTCTAATTGACCCCATTTCACCAATAGGTGTATACCCCACTTTGCCAAACTTGCAAATATATTACACCGATCAAGTAAAGCTAAACAATAAATTGCTTTATCCCCGTCACTTCGATTCCGTAAACAGAAAGGACATAAAATTAAAAGAAAAGCTTTTTCTTTTCCCACTCCTATAATTCTCCCTTGCATTTCGACCATACTAGTGACAAAGAAGTCAAAGAAGACCAGATCGACCTACAAGGAAGCAAACCTGATACGACGTGGAATAAATTAGTTTAGCAAAGACATCAACAACCTCGTCCCAAGGGCTTTTCCGTTAAAAAATGGGTGGGGCCCCACCCATTTTTTAAGGGAAAAGCCCTGGGGACGAGGTTGAGACATTAATTCAACTTAACACAAATAACCCAACACAGCAGGGAAGCATTGGAAGACAGCTGCTTCAGTCATTCATCCCTGTTTATTTGGCCTTTTCTTTTCGTATTTTTTGGCTGACAAGATAAAATTGTAAATCCTACTTTTACAAACAGCAAGTCCAGCAGTTCTTGACGTCTTTCTTATAGCGATCTTGAATAGTTTCTTCACCGTTAGATTTATCTCAATCGTCAACCCAATTTGCAGAAAAATAAAATTGTGGAAGGAAAATTTAGGAAGGGTCCAACTTGATTTGAGACACCCTTGCTAGGAAGCCAACACCCCCCTTCCGTCCCCCCCCCCCCCCCCCCCCCCCCCCC